CAGCAGTTCATGTGAATTACAAACTCTGAAATGAAGAGCGATTCTTAAAAATTGATGCACTTTTTATTGGAATACTGTATTTACCTACATCAAATCATATAACTACTAGTGATACCTTGATGGAGAACTGCCCTGGCTTCATACAGGCTGGGCTTAAACCGCAACAAGAATGACTAATGGTTTTGTGGCTACTTCTACTACCGATAAGGAAAAAATCCCCAAATAAAACACATGCTACATGATCCAACATTATCAGCTTGTCATAAAAGACCTATTGAGAGCATGATTTAAACTTCAGTTTCTACCTCAGAGAAGACTGATTCAAATGGGAAGAAAGAAGCCAGTTATTTATTTAGATGTGGCAAATCCATTAGTCTAGCATGCCATATCCCATTGAGGTAAACCTCTACTCCATGTATACAGCCCATTTTCACTGTGACATAGCTTTCAACAGGGAAAGGATATAGTTGTTTGCTCCTGCAAACATATTTTTAAATGTAGACTAAACCAAATAACTAGTTTACATAATTTCATAAATCTTAAAAAACAAAACACCAAACCCACCACATTCAAAACTGTACTACTTGGACAGAAACTACCTGTTTGTAGCAAAAATATAGGCCATATAAACATATTTTCAAACAGGAATACCTTGACCATCCTAATAACAGCTACTTTCAGAGCACAAAAGCCACTATAAAACCAACCAAGCAGCAATATTAGTTACGGGTTTAGGAACACAGCATAGGAGTCCCAACTTTAGCATTATAAAACTTCCAGCCTGTCTTTTTTTCTACCAGTTTGGACTGGAAAGGTATAGTGTATGCTCTTAATCTCAGCTGTGCTTACTGACAAATAGTCATGTATTTAGGGGCCAATTAGTTTACCACAACCTTCTCTAATGGTCATTTCAGTGCTGTACATTTGTTATCAAGCCAGCTGTGTGTAATTTCACATTGTACAGACTACTCGATTTCACTAAAGTGGAGCTATCAGTTACTGAAAATAGAACAGGCAGACACAGAGGGAAACTACCTGCCACACTGATGCCTCTTGTGACTGATTTCGACCATACCTATTAACCTTTTGTAAACTCATCATCACATAGCTCACATTTTGCACGTATACTGAACGTCAAAATGTAAGTTTCCTGGCTTTGACAAACAACTCCAGAAGCACCCTGTCTATTTTCCTAGTTGGAGACACCACAGACATTTTTACTGCAGTGCATGTATGATCTTTAGACTATAACACAGGTTAGAAATGTTGTAATTACCAGTAATCAGTGGGATTGCCCCCAGATTCAGACTGCATCAGATTATCGCCCTGCAATTACTTAAAACCAACATAAAATAATGCTGGCATAGAAAAGAAAGGGTCATATACCCTTTATCTCCCACTGCTTATTCTAGTGGCAGTGACAGCTTAAAGTTGGAGATGACCCTGTTGATTTCAGGGGGATTGGCCTAGATGACCTTTGAAGGTCCCTTCCAACCCAAACTGTTCTATGGTTGTATAGTTCTATGATTTTGCGGACCTAAAGCCTTCACCAAATGAGTCTTAGAGCATAGAAAACTTCAGCCTCATCTTTCTATGCTACCTTTTGTCCGACTGATGAAAGCATAAAACATTATCCAGAACCTCATTATGTTAGAGACTGTACAAATACAGAAAAAAAGATTGCTTTTCAGTCAAACTGGAAAATGTTTACAGAAAAAGCTTCTGCATTTCATAATACACTTCTGCAGACATTTCTGTGAAGCATAAAAACTGTACCAGCTAAATATTTCCTTCACAGAATTTCTAATATACTTGCTGCAATTGCTATTTTCAATGTGATTGTTTTAAAATCAGTCCTTAAGGAATGATCTAGTTTCTGGAAGAAGGCTGAACCTTCTTGTGCCCAGATCATATCCTGAATTAACATGTTCAGCTGCTTAGTTTTATTTTGTCAGTTAACAGTAAATCAAATTAACCAGTTAACTTCAGAGGTATACTTAGTTATGAATGGCACACATCATGGAAGATAGCACTAATACTAAAGCAGGAAAATGAACAGCTGTATTTACAGCAACAGGAAATGATTAAGGAAACTGAACAAAGGAGTTGTGAGAGAAAATTGAAAGGACTAAAAATAAGCCTATTTTGCTGTGAAATAACTATGAGAGGAAAGGAACCATACAATTTCCCATATGGCTTTGTTTCATTCTGTCCTCAGGGGCACTCTGTCCCTATTGTAAAAACCAGTTTCATAAGAGAAACACACACAAGTAGGTAATTTGTCCCTGTTTTTTAAGACAGTCCTCCCAGCTCTCAATGTGAAGACTCCATCATCTTCTAGTTGTTAGAGAGAAAATATGACTGTCCAGAATGTAGGCCAAATAATAAGTACTGGAGTTAGACATATTTTAAACAGCTCAAAAATTGTGAGATATAGGGTCATATAATTCTTGAGGCTCCTAAGATCTATTGATGTTGTATTTTTGGGTTTTGATATATATTTTCTTGTTCCTGTACACACGCTCTGACTCTGTCAGACATTCCCACAGTTTACTGAATGCACAAGACCATAATGGTTACAAAGCACTTCAAGCAGCTATGAGTTTATTTTAAAATGCAGAAGAGATTCTGCAGGTGCCAGAATCACCTTTTAAAAGTAAATGCAGATGTTAAAGCAGATTCCCAGAACGTGGAGATGGTATTGATGTCTTTTTTCTAAGAGATTTAATATCCATGTTTCCAGAAATTTTCCTAATCCCACTGATATATCTGTGGAAGAAATCTGTGTTCTCTGCCCTAAAAGTAACTCAAAATCCACAGTCAGAAGAATAGCGTAAAGGATATCAGTGCCCCTCTACTTGAGAACAACCCGAATGCTAGTATCTGCTCCTGTTTATACACTTAGAAGGGTTTTTGGAAAAACGTGTAAACAGTCCTTGAAACAACAGCTGGAATCCAGTAACTCTCCTTCTGTAACTGTGGGTCTGGTGTACACAGAGGTGAGATTTTAAACTCACTAAAGGCTCTGGACATGTTCTCTGAAAGCCTGTTAGGAAGTTTGTTCTTTTACAACTTTGTTTTATTTCCTAGACATTCTATCTTTGAGCACTTCCCCCCCCCCCCCCCCCCCCCAATCTCTTAAAATTTATTTCTGACAGAGTATCTGCCTCCTTTTTGTACACTCTCCCTCACTGCCCTGTAGGTCTGACATGAAACCCTAAATTAGATACCAACATTTTAACATTAAACTTTCAAAATTAACTCTCTAATGCAATTATGGATAAATTCAATGCCATTAGTTGTTCTATATATCCTGAGTCAAGAAGGTCATAAAACTTTAACTTACAATTATTCTCCATTTAGAATATTATCTGCATGAGTAACAACTGAGTTTCATTAGCAGTATTAGTAAATGTCGGCACTGCACAAAAAGGCTAAATGAACTTTAAAGGTCATAAAACTACTCTGGACAGCTGAAATACATTAAATCTCCAGATTACAAACTACGCAATGCACAGTGTAAGGATAAAGATAAAGATTACTGAAAGTCAATTTAAAACACACTTAGAGCATTGTGTTCCAGCATAAAAGTTAGGAAAATTTCAAAGAAATGGATTTATCAGAGCAGTTGCCCACATGACTACTTTTTCATGAACCCTTTCACATGGGACACACTTGACAGGAGAAAAGGCTAGAGCAGAATGTGTTTTAATCATTTTTACTTCCTCACATTGCTCTGTGTGCATTTCAGACTAAGTCAACATGTTTAAAATTCTCAAATTCAGCTTAAACACATCCATTTACAGTGGATACTGTAAATGATACTTGCTGCCTTAACAATCACAAGCTCTCTCCTAGTAGACTTAAATAACAAGCAGAAGATAAAGAACAGAAAAGGTTTCCGATTTTTCCCTGAGTATGCGCCTAGCAATTCCTACAGCCTGACTTTGCTGTTCATATCTATACTGACAGCTGGAGGACTTCCTGTCTTTGCATCTGGCCATAAGACGTTCAGGAAGTAAGGTTTATATCTTTACATATTTTCCATGAAGTACTTTGATGACTAATTTCTAGGGCACTGAGTCACATACCCCTTTCACATACTGCTCTCCATCCAAATTATTATTGTACTCCCTACTCCACTCTTCCCATCATTACATGTCTTTTCCTCATTTAAATTGCATTTAGATATTCTACAAATAGTTATTTAAATTTTAGCAAACTTTTTTTTTTTAATACAAGCTAGAATCACTGTTTTTAATTACACAGCTACTAAAAATGATGTTTATGTCAATTCTTCCAAGTAAAATATGAAAACAAATCACCAATAATATTCTGGGGTTTTGGGGCAGTGGTGATGGGGTGTTTGTTTGTTAAAGTGGCACCACTGTAAGCCTCATTCACTACCCTCCTCATTGTTTATAGTTTCTTGAGAGTTTCAATATACATTGTGAGTGAAATTGGTGTATAGTAAAATCAGCTTAATTTTATTATCCTAAAATGTTCTTGTACTTCTCAAAATATTAACTGCTTCAAATGTTACTTATCAAATGCCTTAGAAGGATTTAAGATAGCATGGCAGACCACTCTGCCTGAATCAAGGCTCCATTTGAGCTACTGTAGAGGAGAAATTGCTATATAAATCAAAAGCTTTTTTCCAAACTCCAGCTATTGATCAAGTTTAACATATTTATCTTTAGGATGGCTTACTTACAAACAATTGTCTTGGAGCTCAAAATACCTTAGTCTGACATTCTGACAACAAAAGGTTAGTTTTATTAGTAATCATGAAAGTATATTAATTGTTCTACAGTTTCAAATTTACAGAGAAATGCTCCCTTTTTGCAGCATTCATTGCTGGACTATGAATCTAAACATCTAATTCCTCCATCTACCACATTCTAAAGAAAACATACCATTGTGTACACATATGTACATCATTGTGCTAGCTAAAGGAAAAAAAACTCTCACATAAAACAAAGTCTGTACAAAGTACTCACCGAACGCCTAGCAACAGTTCTTGAAGAAAGAATTCCTGAATCAATGCTGAATAAAATCCTCCCCTGCTAATTCACATTGAAAGGGTGTGATGCAAAGCTGCAAAGGAAGGATTGCAACCTGATCTTCCTAGAGCAGGCTCTTGCTGGAGGATTAATCAGCTAGCTGTTGTTCTTGCTTTTTGTGTAGCACACGGGTTCACTCTGGGTAGAAGTCAGGGATCTGCAGCAGCAGCAAGGACTCTTCCTGTTTAAAGTTTTCTTATCTGCGCTGTGGTTTAGAGCAGCTGTTTTCTAAACAGTGCTAGTTAAAATGAAAAGCACTTTTAAAGAATGAGAAACAGTCTCGTCCTTTAAAAGCATAAGATATGTTATTCATTATACCTTTCATGCTTTGATATGGCTCATGAGGATGCCATACTCATTGCCTATTTAAGAGAAATAGGTTGTGGCTTACTTTTGGGTTTGGGTTTTGTCTGTTTTTAAATAAAGCCACGCTACTCAGTCTAGATCTGGGCTTCATTCATCACAGTGTCTGGAGCTGAACTACAAAAGCTATTCTGCCTTCAGCTAGAATATACCATCTACTTATGAATCATGCTAGTATGTGCTAAAACTAAAGTTAATCATCATTGAAGTACCATGGCTGAAGACAGGGAAGAGACTCCAGCAGTAAGACTGAGAGACCTTGTAACTTGTGAATGTAGAGACACGTGACCAGAATCTTAGTCCTGGAAACTAACGATGAAAATTTCCCAGTAAATTAAAACCAACAGAGACAGAAGTAACAGCTGAAGAACAGTAACTTACACAATTAGTAGCTCTAACTTAATTGCAGTTATTTCTGATCAAAGACAAAAAGGTGTGTTAAATTACTTTCATTAGAGATCTATAATCATCTGTCCACCACCATCCTGAAATAGACTGGAAGTTTCTCACAGTCAGTTAACAGGTTAACAATCTCTGAAACAAACGGAAGTGCTCCTGGCAGCTTCTTAAATCTCCTGTCTGCTATTCTTGACTGTAAGAATGCATGTAATAATGTTCAGGGCAAAGCCAGTAGTCAGCTGAGTCTGCCCTCTGTTAACCAGGTCAGTATTCAAATGGATTAACCCTCCTGAAATGGACTAGAAGCACTCACAAAGGGGCAGTTTAAAATGCTGGAGGTGGACTTCTACCATACTTACCACTAACTCCCTGCTCAGATAAACCAAGGAGCAACCCAGCCCAGGAGAAGTCAGTTAAAATGAAATGGCTGGTCTGAAATTTGTGCGACATCAACACTCTGAAAAACGTATTTTGGGTGTCCATGTGTTACAAATTAGTATGTATCGGTGCTATCCATATGTCTCCTTGAGGGTCACAAGTAAGAGAGCCCAAAACAGATGTACTAAAATGACATGATAATTTAAAGAAATCTTAGTCTGTACATTTACAATAGAAACAAAACCAACTAGATTTGTTTTAGATACTTCTTCATTTAGATACTTCATTTTGCTTTTATTAGAATAATGTTATTAGAATTATTATGTGGATGAACAGAGATAGTTTCAAACTTAAAGTAATTTACAGATAAACTGCTTTCTTTTTAGTCATACCAGATACTGAATGGTCTGAATTTACCAGTCCATGCAAATATATTCCAAGTCTAGGGACCTGACCTGGTCAAAACTACTGTAGGGAAGATGTAGGAGAATGCAATACCTTATTTTGATTAAAAGCTAGGTTAAGAAATCTTTGGTAAATAATAAAACAGGATAAGAGTAAAAAGACCTCCATGTGCAAAAGGGACACATATCCAAAAGAAAATTTCAAAGGAAACAGTATTTCATTTTAAGGTGAATATTTTTGCTTTCTATTCTGTTAATGCCTCTCCAGTTCCCACATGCAGTCATCCTAATTTAGTTTCTAGGAAGGCCTCTGCACTCCTTTGCATTATAGCTATAACACAAAAGGCTGCAGTTGAAACTGGAATCAGAGTTTTAAGATGGAAAAACCACTTATTTGAACCTTTAGTGAGATCAAAGAATTCCATTCAGCTGTGACCTGGCCTAAACAATCACATTAATCTCAGGCTTGCTTTGAAACCTGCTGATAGCTTAAGACAGTTTTCAACAGTTAAAGGTCCACAGTGAAAAAAGTCCCTACAATTTTAAAAAACATTTTTGGATCCTTATAAGAGGGGGCTTTTGTGATAAGCAAGTTGAAATTTTAGCACTAAAACTAGTAATTGATAAGCACTTCTCCAAAATCCTATGGAAGTCTAGAATCCTCTCAAAATGTAAAACTTGAAATCACAAAACTCACCAACCTAGCTTCTTAGGACATCACCAGACTACCCCTAACTGGGGTTATTTTTATTAACCTTTTTTCTGTTCTGAAGAACCCAAAAGTCCTTACTTAGGAATTTCTAACCTTTGAGTATGTGACATTATGTTCTCTCTTCATGTTTATTTATAGCATATGCTACAAGAACGAGTTGCCAATAAAAAGATGGTAATTCAGAAGATCATCATTTCACATGCCTTCTGAGGTCAAGTCTCACAGTCAAACTCTGGCTAATTATGCAATAGTAGGAACCGTACGCATTATTTAATCACTGTGAGAAAAGATTATTTCTAGTTGTCCTTGGTTCTGTCTATAGCAGTCATTTTTCTCCTTAGTAGATGATGCAGGGCTGTGTTTTCAACTTTAGTCTGAGGACAATGCTGGTAACACACCAATGTTTTAGTTGTTGCTGAGTAACGTTTACTCTGATCAAAGACTTTTCAGTCTCATGTTCTACCAGTGAGGAGTGGCACGGGAAGCTGGGAGGAAGCAGAGACAGGACACCTGACCCAAAGCTAGCCATACCACAGCATGTCATGCCCAGTATGTAATCTAGGGGGGGAATTGCCTGGAAGGCCAGATTGCTGCTCTGGTTGGGCTGGGTATTGATCTGCAGGTGGTAAGTAACTGTATTCTCTCCCCTTGTTAATTCCCTTATAATTATTATTATTGGTGGTAGCAGTAGTGATTTGTGTTATACCTTAATTACTGGACTGTTCTTATCTCAACCTGTGGGAATTACATTCTTTTGATTCTCCTCCCCAACCCTCCAGAAGTGGGGAAGAAGAAGGGGGAGTGAGTGAGGGGCTGCGTGGTTCTGAATTACCAGCTGGGCTTAAACCACGACAACAGTATATACATCAGCAGGTTATCTACCAAATTCTGCTTATTATTCACTGATTATACTGGCATGCAGCAGTGGCAGTACAAGCCTACTATTCCAGCCCCCTTTACACGCTGCTTTTTGCTGGGCTATTTTGAAAGGACTTGGGTTTGAGAGTCAAGGGAAAGTCCAGAAAGCATTTATATGATTCTTCTTCTGTAACCAGAATAGCTTTACTCAGAGATTACACCTCCAGAACATCACAGATTGGAGAGGTTCAGAAATGGCTCAACAGGAAGGTCTGAAGAACAGTACACAAGACCAGTGCTACTGAATACATTCCAGATCATTCATATAATCAAGAACTTTCATAAAGAAATTTGACATGAGCACAGTTAATATTGCACTTCTGTCAAAAAAGGAGAAAAAATTCCTTACAGCTCCATTTTTCTTGTCTTCTGGAATGTCTGTCATCTTAAAATCATGCCAAGACTGAAAGGGATGGAAGGAAAGACAGTGAACTTCAAATTCCAGCTCTCCTATACAGTGCACCTTTATTTGTAAAAAGTGGATGGCCTTTAGCAGAATATTCTATATTAACCATAGTGCTAAATGCACGGCATTTAGAAATGAAAATGATTCAGAAGTGTCCAATCTTGTTATTGTTTTACTGTACTAGAAGAGAGAGAGAGCAGCACAAATCTACATGAAAAGTTTTGTGTGTCTATATATAATACTCTGGGTTTTGATTTTTATCATTCATGAAACAGGATTTACCATGTAACACAGCTGGAAAAACACAAAAGCATTTGTTCAGACAAGCAGTTCTTCAGGTTATAACACAAATGCCTCCCTTAATGAGGGTGTGACATTGCTTGGTCAACAACATAGGCGTTTGCTATGTTTTGTTGCCCCCTACTGATGTTGCTTCGTTTTTCCACTGCTTAGTTCTGTAAGAATTTTCATAGAGGCAAGAGCTTCCTGTCTCTTGCCTTCAACAAAGTCATAACTTAATGCTTCTGCTTAGTGCTTGAATTAGATGAAAGAGCATGGATATTTCTGAATCCCCATAAGGAACCAGATAGCAAGCTTACAGGAAAAATACCCACCATCATAGTCTGCTTGCCGCAGTGAGTTTAAAGTCAGAGCTAGTATGTAGCAGACATTGTCACCATACAGGGCAAAAGCTCCCAAGGACCTTTTTCTTCACACAGACACTAATCATCTTACACAGCGCAACGCTGTTGCTCTTGCAGAATTTCCAAAAGCACTGAAAGTTGCTGTTTCCCATATACAATGGCACAACACAGTGAACATTTACAGGAGGGGACAGTCACCTACCTACCGCAGACTCCACGTTTGCACTATAAGTAGTCAGTTTTGTAGTTAAGTAAGTGTTACATTATCTTAAAATTAGCTGATCTTTTTGAGGCCACTGAAGTGTATGCCTTCTTTTCCAGCTGAGGACATCTGCATGTTCTTTTAGAACCTCAACCAGGTTTTAAAAGAGGAATCTAACTTCCTTTCCTGGTTTTGACTGGGATAATTTTCTTCCTATTACCTGGCACAGTGCTGTGTTTTGCCTTTAGTTTGATGATAAAGTAAGACTTTTGCAAAATGGCTGTATTGCTGTTTTATATCTGTTATATCTGTTATTTTTATTGTAGTGTTTATAGAATTTAATATTTGAAACCCATCTAAAAATACATGAAAGGAAGTGAAAGTGAAGGATCTTCTCCAGTGAAAGGAAAACTAGAACCTAACATGTGACCCTTGAAAACCTGTCTCTATACACTTCTCCTTTTCCCCATATTGTTCCTCTTTGCTGTTTTTACATAAAAACCATGGCTATCCCATGTCCTCTAAAGACTGAAATGAGATTGTACAGAGAGCGTGACTATTGTTGCTGATTGCAGAATTTTTAGGTAGTACAATGAGGAAACTCTAAAAACACAGGCTTTATTTCTGTCCTCACTTCAAAGCTGGTAGAACCTTAGAGTAAGGCATGTTACTAAGGCAGTGTTGTGGTTTAAGCCCAGCCTGTAACTCAGAACCATGCAGCTGCTTGCTCATTCTCCCCCTTTTGACAGTTTGAGGCACTGACTACTGAATTTCCACTTTCCT